GCAGATGACAATAAGCTATCCACATAGACTAATTGCTGCCACTTACAAATATTGGATTGAAAGGGGTAAATATTTATTTAGTTAAGAATTTAGATCAGTTTGTTTTCACTTTGGCATTAAATATTTTTTCTGTTTATTAGTGTCAGAGAAAAGATAATTATAGTACACCCACTTTATTAAAGTGTTGTAAACCAATAAAATGGGCTTAAATTGTTTTTATTGGCACAAAATATGTGTGTCCTCACGTGAATTTGAATGACTCTTGCATGTTTTGTTTGTAACTCGCCCAGATTGACAGCTTGGACTTTTTTCCCCAGTGCTTGTATGTTGAGTTATGTTTCACTGCAAACTTTTCTATCTCAGAAGTAAGAAAATCATGAGAATAAACTTCAGCCAAATTTTGACAGAAAGGCTTATACAACTATGCCTAGAGCATTGAAATTTATTTAGATACGCTGAAATTAAGATAAAGCTAAAGGCAAATTCAGTGAGATCCCCACCAAGTGGTGTTTCTGGCAATGTATGACACGCACATGCACACACTATATACACACAGGATTGTGTAAGGGATGAAATGAATAGTGCTGATACAGATTTGGCATTGTGGCTGCCAACCCACGGACAGGATTTCTATGTATCTCCTACTTCTCTCATCTCTCTCCTATCTTCATCTCTTCTCTCTCCTCTTCGTCTCTTCTCTCCTCTCTCTCTCTCACAGTCTCTCACTCTGTCTCTCACTCAGTCTGTCTCTCAGCCTATTTATTAACGAAAGAGCTTTCTCTTTGTTTGTCAGGGAGGATTGTCCTCAATGGAGATTTTCTGTGTAATCATCTGATTATCCATCAATTCCCTAAAAAGCCCCAGAGAGGCTGCATATCCACATTATGCTGAAGGGCACAGCAATGAGAGACAGGGGAAGGAAGGGGGAGGGTTTCCTGGAGGAAACGATCAAAATGGATTTTAGCTTCTTTGCTGGCTGCCACAGGTATCTGCATTTAGTTTGGTTCTAGCTTTATCTATTTATGTATTCCTGAAATGTGAGGTTCTCCTAGTTTCCTTCTCATTTCCCTCTGTCTCTTTCACCTGCCATAGACTGGGCTTCTAGCTACTCTATAATATGCACCTTGGTTTCATCCTCCACGCTGTGTGTTCTGGCAGTCTGAGAGAGTGAGAGCATCAGCTTGCATGCATTTGCATAGAGCCCTATGGAGATTGAAATTCAGATTGAATAGGTGTTTTTTCCTCCTCCTCTAGCTGTGCCTGGCTTGTGTATGACAAATCTGTTGCATTAACTCCCAGGGTAGGCCGGGAGCGGGAATGTTTGTGGAGCGACAAATTACACATCAGAGCTTTATTTAACATTCCCTACATGACTACAAGCGATGAACTATTAAGACGTCAAATAGAAGAACAGCTAGAGATGCAACCCTGCATGCAAAGATGTTAAAAACATAGGAGGGGCATAAGAAAGATGGCGAGAAACAAAGCGGGAGCTTGTATAAGATACTGTGTGTTATAATGAGATATTTCTTAGATAGTCTAGTTATGCCCTGTATCATAGTAGCAGTATAGTAGTGCTCACATAGTTTACATGTGATACTATTCTGATAGTTGACGATTTGGTTGTTGCAGAGACTGCTTGAACCCACTGTGGGTAACAATAACAATGTTATAGCAACGTCCTAACGTCCACTGTGTGCTGATCTGTTGTGTCCCATGAGGTGTGAACGCATTGGACCGAACACAAAGTCAGTTTGTCCACACTTGATTTTGGAGGAATCAAACACATGTCTACACTGGCCCTTTATGGTATGAAAGTTAAGTAAAGTATGTCGAGCCCAGCTGTGAACTATATTGCCACGGTGCTGCACAGGATGTGGAAAAAGCATGTTGTCACCACTAGTTGGTAGTACAAGCCAGCACACAAGATTATTTGTGTGGGTGCAGTTACTTTTAAGTAAAAGTTGGGGTGCAATGTAATTTGGCTCTGCCTGGCAGACTGAACAAACCCAAAGCCTTAATGTTAATAATTAGCCTATTTACAATTCCATCAGAAAAATATCAAAGAGAAAAAAAAGCTGTTAAATGAAAATTAATCCAAATTGCTTCCTTTATATTAAATGGCTGGCATTTTTTTTGCCATTTTTGGCTACTATCGTATATAGAGATGTACAAAAGGCCTTATTCGTCTGTCATGGTGGACCAATCAGATTTTCTTGGACTTCCTCAGGTTACTATTTTTTTACTTTTCCTTTACAGTGTCATTTGCCCATTATGCTGGTTCCTATTTTAAATCGTTTTACCCAGACTTTCTACTACCAGAATATCCTGCAGAAGGGCATAGAAACTATAAATTCTAAAAAATTCAATATGACTGCCTTTAATAAATTGGTTCCCAACCTTTTCTGCCTTTGATTTCTTAATACAAAGCCTCGTCAAAGATTGCATACCTGTAAGTTTTGATTTTCTCTGGCTGACTTTAAATAGTTTTAGAGGTCTGGAGGGGTAAAACTACACACAATCATTAGAGAAAATTCCAAAAGAAAACTACTATGTGTAATAGAATTGTATCAAGTTGTAGAACTGCTCTAATGGGTGAATGATCATTTCATTGGGTTTCTTTATGAATATATGGATTTATGACAAATTTTATTGTATGCTTCTAGGCTAGGTGCCACTGGTACCATATAGTAGAAAGGCAAATTTATTTTATTATTGTTATTATTTTTATTAAACTGTAGCAAGGTTGCTCAAGAGTGACCAGGTGGCTAGTTATCATGCTGGCTGTCATTTGTACATCTCTATTCATCATCTAGTGAATGGCGTGGCTGCTCTAAGTGTCAGCAAAGTGCAACTGAGGATATTCAATAGACAGAGAGAGGGTGCTGACTGGCCTTATTGCACCATTTGCCTTCTGAGGGTACAAGGGAACACAGTGGTTGGCCTGCATTCATTGTAGTCCAGGCATGTGATTTTCTCTCCTTAGCTTTTCCATCCCAGCCCAATTGACCCTATTTCTTGCCTTGTTCTGGCCCACCTCTGCCGCACACTGCTACAGCCGGGTCATTGTCCTGATGATAAGTGCGACATCCTGTTGAGTGAAGTGCCTAGAGGCATTAGTCCGGGTTTGAATAGAGGGTAGACATCGATGCACAGATAGGCTACGTGTCCAGACAATGGAAAACGCCAGTCTGAACAGGCTCTGATTAAATAGATGGTGATTGAAGTTTCACTACAGACAGGAGGATAACTATAGCCTTTTCCCAGGGGTGGAGGTTCAGCTTTGTCTTGATTCCAATCCCAGACTTGTTCTTTTGTTTTGTGGTAGAGTAAACACCTTTCTGCTTTTATCTTTTTGTTGATCTGACTTGTACACTTGTACATCTACTTTTGTACATCCAACCACATATTTTAACACATTTTCTTCCCAACTAAGAGAACAGTTGGGCTACACACATGATAGTCGGACTCATTTGGCTCAGTTCCTGCTTTCTTTCACTACTAAAACATGGGACTTGGAGCTTACGTACATGAAGATGTGCAAACTAGGAAGACAAGATTACTATTCTTTAAATAGACATCAGTGAGGCTCAGACTGGATTGCGAGAGTGTCTTCATTTTTTGTGAAAATTAAAGCAAAATGTCTCTGTGCACATTGCACACCTGTCGTGAGAGCTCTTATCCCAGATGCAGCAGAATAGAAATAGGCAGGCGAATTGTGCACATCAAAGCACCAATCAGTAGCTCTACTGCCAAAGCTGGGATACCACTCTTCACTGTCCCGTTCCTCTCACTAGTCTTTGTTCTGTCGCCACATCCTCCTCAACACCACCTTTCACAAGCTGAATGACTGTTTCAAACCCATTTCACAGCTTCTAGCTTGACTAATATTCCTCTGCCATGTGTTCCTCCTCCATTACTATCCATGTGACATGTCTGTGATCTCTCTCTATCTCTCTCTCTCTCTAAGTTTGTGAGCATGTGGGTGTGAGTATATAAATACGTGTTATGATTTTCACTGTTAGACTGTCTGAAAGCACCTCTTGTCTACATTCTATAAAGCAGTTTTCTGTCTCGGCCTGTCTGAGTTGCTTCTGATTGATGTGTAAAATTGGACTGTTTTTGCTCCCATATATTCCTGAGGCGGGAGATCTGAGTGAGTTTCTTTTTCCTTGCCTCCTGAGGCACACAACTGTTTCATGTTCTTGTGGGTTGGAGTCAAACGGAGTACTACACATGAAGGCACACACTGCAGGTTGCCATAGATTGATCTGCTGCTTTTTGCTTGTTTTCGGTGCTATCTGTATTTTTGTGTATATGTCTATGTGTGTTGTGGGAAGTGTAAAGCCTGCTGCCTGTGATGAATTGCCACAGCAGTGGAGACAAATTTGGACGTCGAGGAACGTTGGTTTTGCTCAGAAATTCATGCTGCCTCTCCGCTCTGTGTAATGATGAAGAACTGGGCACATATCAGCCAGAGGAGGAGTGCAACTGTTGCAAATGAAAAGCACAACAAATGCACACAGAGGCTGGCAAGGAAGTGGGCCATGATATATTCACTGTGTGTGTGTGTGTGCGTGTCCGTGTGTGTTTGTAGTCGCATCTTGGCATGGGGGTTGGGTACAACCACAGCCCACCACCCTAGGGACCCTCTGCCCTCAATACAGGAGCCTCAGTGTAGAGGAGGGTTTGCTGCAAAGGGACCATGTACTATTGAGCTGATTGACAGCTTTTGTAGGTCTGCAGAAAACCCACCATGGTGCTGCATGGTACTGTATGCATGAAATAAGTTGAAAATTTAATTTCATGTAGCCATCTGACAGAGGTGACAAGCTTCAGCGGCTGATCACTGACTGGAATCCCAGTCCTCTGATAGCTTTTGAAATAGATAGCATTATGTGTGTCTGTACATATTTAAAACATATTACACAGTAGGTTTGGGCAATTGGATTAATATATCAGCAGTTGGCCTAGGCGATCACAGGTTGTTGTGGTTTTTGGTGGGAAATTTTTGTAATTTAGTTAATTTGATAGTCTGCTTCCGAAGAACTGCTCAGCAGCGCATTACTCTCACTGAGCCGAACGAGTGTGAGGAAAAAATGGCCTTAGACACAATATTTTTACATCTAACAGGTGAATTACAGTTCAAGGATTCAAGTTTACTTAATTGTCATTTACAAGATAGGGTTGTATAATGAAATTGAGATTGTGGTAAATTAATGCTACTCGTACAACAAAAAAAAGGGTTTATTTTGGTTTAGGCGACAGAGTTGCTGTTATTGTGCCTGGCTTAACAAGGCATTTAAAGTTAGGTCAAATAGAGAAACTTGAATTCACTATGTTCAGTGTATTTTTATACAACACAAGTGCATACCTTGTAAATACAATTCCAATTAAACTCAGGTGAACTCACCAAACATCAAACCGAAGCTGTGCCTTCTCCCCACTGTAAAGGCTTTTTAATAGGTCATACTATGGACAGCACCTGGCGCCTCCAGTGAACAATGGAAAGTAAAAATATATAAATAAAGGGCCCTTGGACAAACTTAATTGGCCATCATAGTTGTCATTAATAGTCATTATTATATTGAAATTTTATTTTAGATCCCTCCACCCTATTTACGTGCATAGAGTTATCTATAAGCTTGATTTAGAAAGGCTTTATTTAATAAACTTAAAAGTCAGTGTATTTAAGTGCAGTATAATCATATTTAAGAGGCTGCACATTTGCACCCTGGGACTCTCTTCTCAAAAAGGTAGCCAGCCTGTCCGGGTCCTCGTCTACACGATTGGCCATTATTGAAGTCTGCCCCAGCTCAACCTTCTGGCAATATATGCCTCCTGCTGATATTACACTCTTTCTGGCCCTATTTCCAGTTTGATTGGTGATGTTCTGGATTTCACATATTCCTCTGTTCACCAAAATTGTAAAAATGTGATTGCTATAGCCATGTTTGCTTTAATTTGTGCTTGTGCCCAGTTTCACAAAAACAGAGTCCCATGTGTTAAAATAGAATGTGATGACCTTTGGCCCAGTAGAGGGCCTGATAGCACCACAAAGTCCAGTCTTTTATATATTTTATATATTTTTTTCTATGTGTGTTATTTATTCCACAGGGAATTCAGACAAAATAGAAGGACTGAGAAAAACACACATAACCTTAATCAGAGCAATGTCCTCTCACCCTTCACTAAATCAGGTGTGGGACCCAGCAGTCACACTGTGCTACCGTGGTACAACTAGACCTCTATGAAGCCAATAAAGTTATAACAAATTTTATAGCACATCAAACACTACACGCTTAAGCACAGTGTGTTTAACTAAATGGGTACATATAAAATAGCTTTATTAATAGTTCAGTTTTACAAAATATGGAAGTACCAGATCTTAACACGGTTCGCATTTATTCTTATCAATAGTTTCAGTAAGTGTCAGCATATTTGCTGGCATTGTTTGTACATGGCTACACTCATCAAGAGTACTTAATAACTCATAGATAGAAAAGTGATCATCTAAAATTGGTGTTTTCTTTACATATCATTTAAAAAAATTATAATTAAACACAAGGTTAAGGTTAACATCACATCACAGTTAACATCACATCACAGAAATCTAAACTAAACAACAAACTGAGACTGATAACTTGTGAATGGCATCAAGTAGTCGAATGTAATAAAACCCCCAGAGTTCAGTGGCAAACAGCCCTTCGCATTGGCATGGTGGTTAGCAAAGACCTCAAATGTTATTGGCAACACAGAAGCAGTGTTTAAAAAGAAAACACCCACACACACATTCACATTTGCATGACAACCACAGTATACACTTTTTATTGACAGTGTGTCTTCTCCTTGAACATTCCCATATACCTACTATCTATTTTCCTTCCCATCCACTGGAGGCTGTTTTCACTGCAAATCACTATCCAGGTCCATCATTCTGCCTCAGGTGTCAGGGCCAGGTTTTCAGCTGTACCAACACAGGGCATGATTTACATGTCATATCTGCAAAGCTTTCCCTTTCTACAATATATCTGCATTCTGGTGCTTCCCTTACTTCTACATAGCAAGGACCTCCTATTTTGAGTCAAGAGTATTTTACGATAAATGCTGTGAAACACCATTAGTGTTCATTAGTGTTCTATTCCAGTTTGACAGTGTACAGAAGATCTCTGAATGATTCCATTACTAGTTAATATCCTATATATATATATATCATGACTTTTTTTGTCAACTACAGCACATTACTACAATTCAATGCATGTCTAAATCTGCACACACCAGGGTTCACATTTGCACATCTACAAGAACCTGCTGACTTGTTCAGTCCTGGATTTGCTTGGAACTCGACCCATCATATATTGGGGCACTTGACTTTACTATATCGCTGTAGCATACATACAGTATACAGTATACATATGATATAGTGGCCTGCCATTACAAGTTCCAAATGGTTGAAATCTGTATGGCAAACTTCACCACTAAAAGAAACTGCACTTTATCTGATTTTGTTTCTTTACCTCTCCTCTGTCTTCTAACACCCACTCATTCTTTTTCTTCCTGTGTTTTTCAGAGAATGATGAGACAGGTGTGATGGATAGTTTGTTGGAAGCCCTACAGTCAGGAGCTGCATTCAGAGACCGCAGGAAGAGAGCGCCAAGACCCAGAGGTGAGTCTCATATCTTTTACCTACATTTGTACACAAACAAAGACACACACAGAAAACCTAGTACTCATATTGTCTGGAAGTTTTTCCAGACAATATGGGTACAAAGCTCTGTGTTTGTTTTGATTCCATTCAGATGTTCAAAAAGCACAATGAATCATGCTCCTAAACTGCCAACTGGATGAATATTTTTCTTGTTTTGTTTTTAAAAGCTAAGTGAATCGAATTCATCCTTGCCTTCTCATGCCATGGCTCCAAAAACTTTCATTTTCAGTCAAAATACACTCATTTGTTGTTTGCACACATGCTTGCTAGCACCAGGAATTGAAAAATTGAAAGAGCAAACAAATGTTGTGAATCCAAGATGGGATCTGAACCTGTTTGAAATTGATTGGCCATTTAACTTCAAGGGCAAGTGACAGCTGTGCCCTTAACTACTGTATTTCTTTTTAATGAACAACCGTTCTTCAGCGTCTGAATGTCTCCTCATGATCCTTTTGGTTTCTCTTTGTACTGTATTGCCATTATTTGTCCACTACCCTCCTTCCAGATAACCAGCAGCAGACGATCAGCCCCAGCTCCTTTCGCCAGGTTCTCAGGCCTGTTAACCATGGTAAAACAAAAACAAAAAAAACTACACAGCTAAAGCCTCAAGCATGCTCAGCTCTATCTTCTACCTGTTTTTGGAAATCAGTCTTCATCTCTCACATGTAATGCAAATTGCCCCTGACAGTTCATATGTCCTGCCTTTTTGTATGTCCAGTGGCCTTTTCAGTTGTCCCTTTGCCTTTTTTGTGACCTTGTGTGTGCCTTCTGAAAGTGTGAAAGGCCATTGTTAAAACAGTTTGAGGCAGTGTGATGTGCAGACTGCAAGAAGCAAGGTTGAGATTCTTTGAAAGCAGTGTGTGGGCTGTTCTGGCAGCTGAGTTTGATAAGGTTTCTAAGTAGTTCAGCAACTGCAGCAACCCTATGCTTTTGAATGCTTTTGGGATCTTTCATATTTTTTAAATCTTGCGTAAAGGAAGTGTCATGTCTTTTTACATCAAGCATGCAAGAAATTTTTGTCTTGAATTTCTCACCTATGTACTTGAGGTTTTTGAAGAGTGATGAGGCATGTGCAGCAAGATCAGATATATAGACTAAACAGTGTTCTGCAAATTGGATGAAAGCCACTTGTAGCTTATAGCACTTCAAGTGTTGACTGTGAGAAGCTCACTGAGTGTATTTAATGTTAAAATGACATGAGTATGTGTGTATAGCTATATAACTCCCTGGGACTGAAGATTGAATGGGATACTAATTGTACCAAATTAAATTGTCCTATATTATTCATGGTTGTGAACAGATATTGTGCTTTTAGCTATGGCTAAGATAAACAACGGCTTTCTTCTCTTGTCAAAGGTTTTCTACAATCATTACTGAGCCACTTAAAAAAATCAAACTGTAACCCTATTACCTCTTATTACTTGTAATTGGAATCCCAGTGGGCTGGGTACAGGCACACATGAATAAAATTATTCACGCTCAATCCACCCACATCATTGATGGCAATGATAAAGGGCCTTGCTCTGTTGTTCTGCTACGACTTATCTGAAATTAGATTGGAAAGGGACGAGGAGGAGGGAGATATACAGGGTGGGAGGAAAGAGACAGATAGAGGTGGCTGTAACATAAGAAATGGAGAGAAATGGTGTGAGGAAGAAAGATAGAGCCAGTTGGTAAGGGTGAAACTAAGGAATATTGTAGTAGGAAGAAAATGTGGACTCTGATGCTGTTTGTGTGTGTGTGTGTGTGTTTGAGAGGGAGAGTGTGTGAGTGTGAGAGAGTCAGTAAGTATAAGAGAGAACGAGCTAGAGCTGTGTTGTATTAACAAGGGATTAGAGTAAAAAGAAATTGCAGTGCGTGAAGGAGCTGCTGCTCAGTGTCCATGTTGTGAAAAGACCTCATGGTGAGTTGTACAGGTAAGAAGGTCCCGGAAGGTTGCTGGCCCAGCTGCCACCTGCTGGCAGTTTTAGACACGGCCTTGTTGACTAATAAAGCTCAAGGCCTTAGCCTGTCACTGCAGGCATCATACTCACTGCCAGCCTCCCAGAGCAAACACAGCTAATTACTTTTCTCTGCCCAGCCCCAGCACCAGCTCAGCCCTCTCAGTGCCCATTCATCTTAATTTCCCCCTCTCTGCCATCTGCCTCCTAAATAACACTCCTCCTCATTTCCCTACCATCCCATATCCCCGCTGTCTTCTTCTATACTCTCATGGCCTGACAATGGCCCTCCCCAAACATAATTGCCTGTTATTGGTATGGAGTCTCCACTTCTCTAGCCTCCTTCTCTCCCATTTCCCTCCCCTCCTTCTCTCCCACGGAGATCCAGGCTTTAATTGCCCTGGGTTTAGTCTCTGGAATGAGTGAAACCCACATGATGCTCTCAGTTTAGTTGGGAGGTGATGAAGTTTAGTCCGCGGCACACGCACTTAAACAGCTGCTTTCACTTTCACACCAACCTACCACCTCATTTTCCCACAGTTTTAAATACCCTTTAATAATTGATCTCAAGGGTGTTGCTGCAGTCCAGTGGAGCAGCAAAGAGAATTAAAACAGAAACATCTGCACCAGAAGATACCGTAATCAGTGGTGAAGAGAAGAGATTTGAATGGTCAGTCTGAACATGTGCGGTGTCATTAAGCTTTCGTAGCAAGGGAGACTCAAGTGAATCAGTCTGTCGTCTGCAGAGACAAATCTAATGGCCAATAGATTGCGCGTCTCATCACAAGACTGGAGTAGTTTGATTATGGCTATAGTGCTTCATAGTCGCGATGAGTGTGGATTGCCACACAAAATAAAATAGGTTTTAAAAATTTCTTGCAGTCTACCCTACTGTTTGCTGCACATCAAGTGGTGCAGATTGTTCCGTCCCTTCTTTCCTGCTCTCCTCCTGTTGTACTCTTTGGTTTGAGTTAGGGCCCTGGCCTGAGTTCCTTGCATTTTTCTCAGCTTCCTCTCCTCCCCTACCCCTAAATTGGCTCAGCACACTTTCACATGAGCCAGCAGCTAAGGTGTTTAGCTTGGTCTGCAGTCTCCCTCAGCACACACACACACGTACACATAAAAGTACGCAGACTTCAGGGGATAAAGGTAAGCAGGCTTTGTGGTGGCTGTGGCCTGGGTTAGGATAAGGCTGTGGGGCTCTGGGGCTCCTCAACACTCTAAATTGGATTGGGCTCCACAGAGTGATGGATCGATGCTGGTTAGCCACACAGGTGTAAGAGACTTGAATCTGCAAATTGAATCTATAAAGCATCCATAACTTTTTAACTGTGTCCTTCTGAAAAAAATCTCTCCAGGCACTGTCTGGTCATTTCAGCCTTTTTTTTTTTGCGAGTCCTCACCACAGTCTCACTGATTCCCCAGCTGGCATGTGCATGTACATGTTGAGGGGAATCACATGGCTACATTTATTTTATTGTATCGTTGTGTTTGACAGAGAGCTAAAAGTGTGTAAGACGTCACGAGCCAGAGGTGCTTTATGTGCGTGCTTTAATGCCATTCCTGGAATGATCCATTATAAAGAGTGCGGGGAGAAACGGGATCTATGAGGAAGTAAATGTGTCTGTCTTTAGGAGCAGTTGCTTCTGTCTTTAGTGAAACCCAACCTAAAAATGATCATGTGCGATATAACTCAACAAGAAGAAACATCAAGGTCAGTTCACAAAGTCAGTGAAGACCTAACAGCCCTTACAAAATCGGTATTCTTCCTTACTTCCTCTTAAAAGCATTAGCGTTTGCAACCTAAAAGCAAGCCTATAGTTATTGGAGATGTTGTCTGCTATTTATTTGCTGAGTCAACTTTATGACCCTTTTTGCTGAATTTATGTTTCTGTATATAATGTTGGATGCATCTATTCAGTGCAGACTTTAAATGGCTTGGGTATAGGTGGGAATGGTTGAAGGAGATGACTAATAGGCTTAATTTGAGACTCAACCCACGATGTCTTTCAGAGGCTGTGCTGCAGAAAATCATTAAGACAAAACTAGGGAGGGTGTGAGGTTAAAATGAGAAACTCAAAAAAGTAGGATTTAAAAAAAAAAAAAAAAAAGGAAGTTTGTTTCCTCCTATCTCTGTTTTATGTGCTCACATGTGAGCCATTTGTGAAACACTAGAGGTGAGAGTCAGTCACCGTAGCTTCCTAAGGCAGGGATACTCTAGTGGAATCGGCTGTTAGATGCTTGCCTTTTTGATTGGGCCTCTTATAGACTCTGATATAAGGATTCCACTGCAGGCTACTATATCCTGTAGATTGCATGTGTGCTTTATCATCCCTCTTTCACATTTCTGTCTGTTCATATCATTGTCAATTATGGGGGAATGCTTTGGATCCATCCAAAGTTCCTCAGTCTACTCTTTACTTTTTGACTTTGTTTTGTCTCTGCTTTATCTCCTCCCTTGCATTGCTGCTTTCCCCCAGACATGACATAAGCAGAAAAAGAAGGGGTTATTAAATCATTTCAGTGAGCCCAAGACAAAAAAAAAGAGCAGAGACGCTCTCCTCCCAAGATCTATTTGAATTGATGCTGCACGTCATTGTTTGAAAAGTGTAACTTTAGAAGTTGCTGATTTATCTGCATTTGGTCATAATACATCATCCACACGTCACATACGGCCTGTGCGTTTTTCATTACAGTGACAGATTATTGCCAAAGAGCTTCTGTTCCTCAACACCGAGTGTTCAGTCTCCCACTTTCACACGTACATGCTCATGCATACATGCATAGAAATTGTCAGCTTAAACACCCTGTGTTTTAATGATGTGCAGGCAGAAGGTCAAAGACCACTCCTGGGTCGGGGCATTAGCTGTGTCTAAGACTTGGACAGGTGTACAGCTCTCTGTATTCATGTCCACAGTCATCTGGCCACAGTGAGTCACAGTGTCTCTTATCGCCACATTTGATTGGTGGTTTAGATGTTTAACTGTTCTTGTAGACAAAGGCATATCCAGATGGGAAAGTGTACCTTGACCTGCCTTTGTCTGTCTGTCTGAAGTGCTGCACTTGGTGTGTGCGCGTGTGCATGTTTGAGCCCGTGCGCACATGGATTGAACAGATGGAGCAAGAGGGCACCTTTACAAAGTGGGTAGTGTAATTAGGTCCAGCCTGTGCAGTGAGACTTGTGGAATAGTAATTGAGGGATGTAAAGAGCAATGAACAAATGATTTCTTTTTTTTTTAACCTTTATTCAAGTTTTGCTAAGAACAATGCTCTCTTTTCCTGGAATGCCATGGCGCACACTTACTCAGTTACACTTTGTCACACATAAAAGTACAAGTATTTTACAGTATTTTACTGCCAAGGCCACTTAGCAGTTCTTCTCGAGTAGTTGGTGATTAATTGACCAAGATCTATTCTGCTGATCTGGTGATTGAACGAGCGACTTCCAGGCACAAGCCATCTTCTGTAACCTTTAGACCAGAGGCTGCAGCTAGTGTCTATCTTGGGATAACTGAATGGCATTTATTTGCAAAGACACCATGTGCCCCTCGTCTAATGTAGACAGCAATTACCATGAAATATATTTCTTTGTGAAAATGTTTGGTTATAGATTATGGTTTTCTGTGTA